CATGTTAATTGACGTTTCCTGTTTCTATATTTCCTTCATTTTCACTTAGTTTAATTTATAAAATATAGATGTAAAAAATATTAATTTGACCTCGTTCTCTCGCAGCCACCATTTTGGCGACTATTAGATGCATTGTAAATTCTTCCTGCGGTTGATTGACATTTGCTACTGTTGCCTAGCAACCAACATTCTACCTAGAACTCTTTGGCTAATTCGGAAAAATGGCTTTCAGAAAAAAATGTAGCCGCGAAAAAGGCTTTAGAAATGCTTCAAAATAAATGATGATCGAGATTCGGGTGGAGGGGGGGAATTGATGATGACGACTGGGTAGGAAGCGGCTTAGATGTTGACAGCGACTCCGAGGATGATCGCCCACCCCCCCTGGCAAAATGCAGACGAATCAGTCACCCATCGATTACTAAAGGTGATGTGTGGGAAATGTTCGGGGGTAATAAATCAATTGTAATTTCAAACCTTGAACCAGTGTAGTAAAATAGTCTTATTTTACTGATTTATTTTTAATACAAATTTGGACTAGCCTTATAAACCAGACTAAATGGGAGATTAAATGTGTAATTTAGTCTGACCAAGATGAATGAGACATCAGAAGATTGTTGATGAGAACAACCTGTTGATTATCAAACCATGTCTGTGCCTATTGGCCAACGCTCTGACCAATGAGCGCAACTGACGGTGACGTAGGAAAGGCAACAGCTGGTGGGGGAGTGTAAACAAACAGCTTGTGGGTAAAATGGCGAATACGTCCTTAAAAATGAATGAGAGTAGAGCCTCTTCCTGCTCACGTTTCAATGAAAACCCCAAGTCTGATCCTTCCAAAACTGATTCCAAAGCTGAGTCAAACCAGAAATGTTCAATAGTTGCTGCCATCTTCCTTGTGCTTTCTCCAGTGTCGCCCAGCTTTGTCGTCACGCCCTCAAAACCCCGCCCGCTTTGCATCTAGTAATTCAAAACACATCTCTGCGTTGTGATTGGCCAGCCAGTTCTAGGGCCTGGGGCATTGATCGAGGCTAGACCACTGGCAGGCAAAAATGATTTTGGCCGCTGGAGGGTGGGGCTAATTTACGAGGCTAAATTTGGACCACGCATAACAAATAAAGGTTGTAATAACAATACAGCTTTTAAAATATATATATTAGACCTATTTTAAGGTCTACATATCCACAATGGGTTCTTATCACACACCATAATAGAGGTCACGGATTAGTGGTCCACGGTCCCGATCCGGACCCACCTGCTGGCTAATCCAGACCCAACCCGATTTAAAACATTTATAAATTAC